GGGAAACTTAGGCAGTTTCACATTCCTTTTAAATTTAGCATATATTAAAACAAATGTCAATAATAAAACTTCTTTGATGTGAATAATCTAGAAAACTCAAGAATTTATCAGAACATGAAACTATAAAAACCTTCTTTAAAAGAGTATATTAAGCAAACACATTGAAATCACTGACAGCCTATATAAATTCAACAAATATGCATGGGGTACATGTTCTGGAAAGAGCACTGTAGTAGACTGGTTTAGGGGAAAGGGGCAAACATTACTACGAAGCACACAACAGCAGAAAATGCACACTAAACTCCTCTGAGAACCTCCAGAACAGAGCATATATTTTTCCAAGATTAAGCAATAGAAAAAAACACCCACTTAGAATCAAAACTGAAGTAGAACACAATAAGGCACTCTCCCACAGTGAACTTTCAGAATTTTACACCTACAGAAAAAATATGATCATGGAAACCCTCTGCATCCTTTCTATGTTAAGGTAGAAACATGACATAGCAAACATTAAGATATTTTACATCTCATGGCTAAAGAAAAACATCTTCTAAAGGAAAAAATGACTAATGCTTAAGAGATACCTGCTGGCTGTATTGTTTCTGATTGGAATGGCTTATATGGAAAGTAAACACTTGCCAAATTAATTGCAGTAGTTATAAACAAAAGTTTTGCAAGACTCAAGAAAATATTGAGAAAAAAATCAAAATATTTAACTTAGATGGCTCACTTGATTTACTATTCATACCTTTTCATCTTTTCTTAAAATAGACCACACCTAATCCTATTAAAACATGACAGTACTTTCCGAAAAACCAGCTTTCCAAATTTAATACTGGTTTTTGATTATCTAACTTACTAATTTCTGGTTTTATATTTCTTCTTCTCTCTTGCTTTGATAGGGTTTTCTCGCTACATCTAGTCCTGAATGCTTAATTTTTATTTACCTTTTAAAATGTTTAATAATGAAAGCATTTATGACTATGCATTTGCCTCAGAGTATAGCTTCAGCCATATCCCATAGGTTTTTATATGTAGTATTTTACTACTTTTTCAATAATCCATAATTCTACTTTTTTATTTCCTCTTTGATTTAAGGGCTTAAGGAAAAATGTCTTTAAATTTCTAAAGGTCACTTTCACTAAATGAGCATTATTAACTTTCTTTCTGACTACAAAAGTATTATTTTTAAAATCTGTTAAGACATATCATTTACTGATATTCATAAAGGCCAACTACAAGTATTACTGAATAATGTTTTATAGTAACTTATTTAGAATACATCTAGTTTACAATGCAGATACTATTTGAAGTTTATTATTTAAAGGAAAGAATTACAAGCCAGATGATTTTGTATCTTTATCCATGAACAGCATTTTGCATGAAGTCATATATATTTGCTACATGTTTGCTTTTCTAAGAGTTAAAGACATTGGTGATCAATAGTTTTGTAAATTCTTATAAAAGAACTCATCTAATGTTAATGTACTAAAAATTAAGCCAATGTTTGAATTATTTGATAATACAAAAGAAACTGCAAACTTCAAATGTTCTGTCTCTTCTAAGCCCAGAAGAATGTTTCCTAAATGTTTCCTAAAAACAGAAACATTAAGCCTTTATAAACAAATGAACTCCATCATTTATTCCTCACATCCCTTTACACCAACTTTTTTTTAAGGACCAAAAAAATTATTTTTTGGTATCATATGTGCATATTATAACATATAATGCATTATACCAACTAATAATGCATTATGCCAACCATAATATTATTATACCAACCATAATAATGCATTATACCAACTAGTATCTGTTCTTAGAACACCTAACTCTGGCAGTTAAAATTAAGCTACTAGTTTTGATTTAACACAGTCTTTTTATAAAACAGTACTTCTAATATCCTCTTCTGATTATAACATTCTTTCAAATAGTCACTTTTGCAATTAAGACTATTATCTAGCATGCATTCCCAGTAACTTACTTATTATAATCTTGATCAATATAGATACAATTTGTTCTTTTATATCAAGATTTTATTTTATTTTTTTAAAAAAGAGGTAATTTAAGATGCCTGGGTGGCTCAGTTGGTTAAGCGTCCACCTCTTGATTTTGGCTCAGGTCATGATATCACTGCTCATGAGATAGAGCCCTGTGTTGGGCTCTGTGCTGACAGCATGGAGCCTGCCTGGGATTCTTTCTCTCTCCCTCTCTCTCTGCCTCTCCCTTGCTCATGCTCTCTCTCTCAAAATAAATAAACATAAAAAAAAAATAAATAAAATAAAATATTTAAGCAGTGATTCAGAGTACAGCAGCGTGAGATGGCTTCAGGCCAAAACATGCTTTTTTTTTTTTTTTTTTTTTTTTTTTTCGAAGACCTACCCTTGTAAGGAGTGCCTGGGTAGCTCAGTGGGTTAAGCATCCGACTTCAGCTCAGGTCATGAGATCTTGGTTTGTGAGTTTAAGATTGCAGTCAGTCTGCGACCACTCAGGCCCTAAACCTGCTTTGGATTCTGTGTCTCCTTCGCTTTCTGCCCCTCCCCTGCTCACACACACACAGGTTCTTGCGCAGGCAGGCTGTCTCTCTCAAAAATAAACATTAAAAAAAAAAATTAAAACTATACTTGTGCAATACTCCAAGGACTTCAATTAGGTTAACATGAAATGCTCAGTTTACACAAAGTATTGTTTTTTAAAATAAATTCGAGAGCCTGGGTGGTATTCGGTTAGTCGACTTCAGCCAAGGTCCGCGATCTGTGATCAGTGAGTTCGGGCCCAGCGTCAGGCCCCAGGGCTGATGGCTGAACCTGGAGCCTGTTTCCGTTCTGTGTCTCCCTCTCTCTCTGCCCCTCCCCCCGTTCATGCTCTGTCTCTCTCTGTCCCAAAAATAAATAAATGTTGAAAAAAAAAATTAAAAAAAAAAAAAAAAAAAACCAAATTTCTATGAATCGCTAACTTCTACAGTATTATAATAAGTCTTAACGCTGTAGGCATTCCCAAAAATTCAAAATATAAACTAACACTGGTTTCAAATGAAAAAGCAAACAAACATTTTGTGAGAGGAAAATGTAAATTCGCCCATCACATATATTTTTAGTGACTTTTACCTATCTAAATTCACTTCTTTAGTAAAAATATAAAAGTATATTCCACATAACCTGAAAAAGTCATTACATTACTTCATGGTATAGTGAAAACAATCAAGAACTCCACAAAGCTATAAATAACTAACTGAAACATAGGGAAATAAATATCTGAAACCTGAACAAAGTAAAATAAAATAAATATCTGAAACTTGGAAAAAAAAAAAAAAGAAAACTTCACAAAGCTGAGAAGTCTCAGTTCTAGCCCCTAATCTACCATTAAGTTAATGGTTGTTAGCCTTTTTTCAGTGATTGATTCCTTTGAGAATATGATGAAAATAATGGAGACTTGCCCCAGAAAAATGCTAATGTAAAATGAAGCACACTCCTTCCAGGTCATCCATGGACCCCTGAATTAACTGCTTACAGCCTGAACAGAGCAAAGTAGCATCACTTTTCTGTGTCTGTTTCCTGTGAGTACGTAGCACGCGGGAATACAGAGTGGTTAGAATTATTCTCTTACTTCAAGTTTAGGCTGGGGACGAGGCAGGAGGTACCAGAGGTAAAAAAGGAATTCTTCAACGGAAAACCTACATTCACAATTTCTTTATACTCCTTAGATTTCTACAAGGTTTTAATAGGTTGTGGACTTTGGAAAGATGTAGGATGAAAGAGAAATAGGTTCTCTAGTTTAAATAATTTGCTCATAGCACTTGCTGTTAAGATAATCACACACAAACAGCTTTGCTAAATAGTTAATTACATTTCCTCTAAGATAAAAGGAACCATAAGTATACATATGGCAGCATTACTGGTTACAGTTCTGGCATCATGATGAAGGACCAAGAGTTTAACCTTTTCATTAGTGACACACATACAAGAAAAGCATTCAAGAAAATTTCCTATTCAATTGTCAGGCTTTGAAATCAAAGGCATTTCTGATAGATGCCTTAAAAAAATATTTTTCATTAAATTGGATATAGGCTACACATAGAATACTCTGGGTCACAGCAAAGCCAAGAAGTTCCCATCAATTTTGCTTTGGTAAGTCCAGGTATTATTTCATAAAAATCATTTGTGTTTTCAGTCATATTTTCATAAAGCTTTAATTTAAGCTTTTGTAAAAACAAATATACACAACTAGGAATCTGCCTGCAAAAAGAGACCGATTTCAAAATCAGAATTGCCTTTGACTAGCTACAGATATACATATACAGCAATTTGTGAAATCTTGTCTCATTTATTCAGATACTAATTATCTATTTGTAAAATAATTATGCAAATCACTAATCTCTTTTTCCTTCATCTATTTGCCTAGCTCATCACTGGGCAAAGCCCTCAACTGATGAGAATGCATAGTGAATAAACTTCGATTTCATCAAATTAAGTCGTTTCATAAAGGTCTCAAGGATGGAAAATACTAGCATCCTTGGGGGGAAAATTATTATTTTGGATTATTTACACTGTCATCATCCCTGCCTTCCAGCAACTACTCGCACGGACAATCAAGAATTTAACGCATTTAAAAACAAAATAGAATACTAATTGAACAACTCCGTGAATATGAAAACGGGCTCGGAAATGAATTCACACTTCGGATCAAACATTCTTAAAATATAAGCTCAATTTTTAAAAAATACTAATGTTTGCAAGATAAATGGACAGAAAGGCAGGGAAAAACCATAATATTTCATATCTTAAAGGAAACACCTCCCTAAGACCACGACGAGAAACAATGTTTTGCTCAATGGAACGTAGCTCTAAAAAACCCGTAACTCCCCTGCATCTGTAGTTATCACACATTCTCTGACAAGTCTTTCCGGGTGAGAAGCCTTCGAAAGCTTTTCCACCTTGAAAATACATTCCAGAACTGAAGGGTGGGGGGAGAATTACTCCTTGGAAGTTATAAACCCTCCTCTCAGGAGAGCCCTGACAACTTGGGAGTCTTCAGGCCCTTTCCACCAAACCACGGAGGAGGGGCAAAAACGAATCCCCAGCCCTGACGGAAGGGGGTAACCAGGGCTGAAAAAGCCCCCGAGCCCGAGGCAGCATCTGGAACAATGCTGGAGTGGGGCGCCGCCGCTCTCAGGCGAGGGGAGTCTGCACCCGCAGGAACTCGAGGGCTCCAGCCGTCCGGGCCCAGGTTCAGAGACCAGGGCCCGCCGGGGAGGAAGCGGCGACCCCCAGCACCCGGCCGGGCCTGCCGCCCGAGCCCTCGTACCTGGTCAGCGGGGGCTCGGTCCATGGCGCCTGCAGCCGCAACGGGCCCGCTTTAGTCGGTGTGGAGAGCGCCTCGGGCCGCTTTCTCCATGGCCCCCCGCTCGACTCGAGACCGGGTTCAGGACCTCCGCCCCTATCTGGCTGGCCCCGACGCAGAGTCCGGCTACGCCACTGGCCGAGGAGGTGGCTCCAGCTCCAGGAGATGGAGGAGGCGGTGGCAGCTTCGGGGAGGGATCATCTGGGACGGAAGCCGAGGAGGGCCTAAATAGGCGGAGGAGTAGTTGAAAATGGCGGCACGCGGAAGGGCAAGGAGGGGGAGGGGCCGCGACGGGGCGTGGGCGGAGCGACTGCCAAAGGCCTGAGCTGGTGATGGCCGGAGCCTGGGCTGACTGACCCGCAGGCTGAGGCCAGGTGGAGATTCCTGAGAGCAGGTGCCCCAGACTACTCTGCGCTTTGAGCCAGACTTCACCTCTGGACTGTTAAACTGGAGGAGTGTCAGGCCACTTGGGACCTAGGCCACCCGGGTTCCAGTCTAAAGGAACCTCAAAGACTACTTCATTATCCCAAACCACCTCTTAATAACGTTGTAAAAGCTTTTAGCTGCCCACTGTACTTTATGATCCTTCCCTATGTTATCTAGCCAAAGGGAATCACGACTATAAAGGAAAACACCATAGAAGGGCCACCATAACGAAACCTAGTCAGGAGGCTCCACAAATGCTTATTGATTAGGTAATTCATTGTCCAGGCCAGGCTCACCTCTATACTCCCCTCCATGCTGATCGTGCCTATCTCGGAATCCCTAATTTTACTCAGTCTGTATCACACCAGCCAGCAGGTAACTATGTAACCTGCTATGTTGCTTTCCTCCCTGTGCTTATTGATTGTTCCTTTTATTTCCAGTCCATTAGCTCCTTGAAAAAAGCGACTATTCGGATACTTGCTAAGCATGGCCGATCCCCTCTGGGCATCTCAGACATACTCTCTAACACATACCTCAACTCCAGGGTGAAGAAGAAAAATAAAAAGTCATACAAGCTAAATTATACTTACAAGAAGGAAGAGAGTGGAGGTGGCTCCTGTTTGAGGGACTGGAGTGGTGAAATACAGCTGGGAAAGAGATTTTTTTTTCCTAAAGTTTATTTATCCAATAGAGAGAGAGAATGCGGGAGGGTCAGAAAAAGAGGGAGAGAGAGCATCCAAATCAGGCTCCCCATTGTCAACCCAAAGCCTGATGCAGACTCGAACCCACAAACCATGCAATCATGATGAGCCAAAATGAAGAGTGGGAAACTTAACTGACTGAGCCACCCAGGCGCCCCCAAATTTTTTCTTTTAATGTTTATTTTGGGGAGAGGGAGGGGGAGGAGGAGGGGCAGAAGAGGGAGACAGAGAATTGGAAGGAGGCTCTGGGATGTCGGCTCAAAGCCTGATGTGGAGTTTGAACCCACCAACCATGAGATCATGACCTGAGCTGAAGTCAGGTGGTCAACCCACTGAGCCACCCAGGCACCCCTGGGAAAGAGAATTTTAAGAAGTTTGCTTTGTCATGCTTCAGGAGACATAAGTAAAGACTTGAATTGCCTTTTCAGTTAGTTTAGTTTGTTATTCTGGTTTTATCTGAATAGGATTCCAAGAAGAGGCTGGGCTGTGAAGCCTCTAGCTGTACTTACATTGATACAGGAGCTATGTTGGGTCAACACGACTTAAGGCTGGCAGTAGAACCTGCTTATAAGAAGAAATATTTATATTTGTACACAGAGATCTTTAATTTTATGAACCAAATAAAATATTTTTATTCTCAAATTTTATGTTTGTGTGTATTCGTTTGTTTAAATTATACATGTATGTATGAATGTTACATACATGAAGAACTCATGTAATATAGCCCCTAGTATCCATCAATGAATGCAGAATAAATTTAAGTTTGCATAGAAAAGCTAAGCTATTTATACAATGTAGTTATGTAAACTAACAGATGATCATCCTCCTTCACAATTTAAAGATAAGAATTCTGAATTTTCAGCATGTCTCTCCACTGGTGGTCTCTAGCCATAAGACACCGGGATCTAAGTAAAAAGATAATAATGCAATACTAATGTAGTCATAAAAATACCACAGTACTTGGTTTTCTTCCTGCTTCTAAGAAGTAAGCTGAGAAAATTGAAATAGAGGCTAAGGATCTTTCCATATTATAGGATTTTTATGACTATGAAATAGTTCTTGTTGAGAATCTTCTATGTGGAAGACATTCATTGAAATTTTAAGAACAGAATTACAAGACATTATATGAACAAAAATGTCACTATGCCATTCTTATTTAATACAATCCGAGAAAAGATTACAATAGCTTATTGTATTTATTTTAATAGAATAAAATATATATATATGAAGAAAAAAAGACACTTAAAAATACTACTTTTGGGGTGCCTGGGTGGCTCAGTTGGTTGAGCATCCAACTTCAGCTCAGGTCATGATCTCGTGGTTTGTGAGTTCGACCCCCGTTAGGCTCTGTGCTGACAGCTCAGAGCCTGGAGCCTGCTTCAGATTCTGTGTCTGCCTCTCTCTTCGCCCCTCCCCTGATCACACTTTGTCTTTCTCTCAAGTAAATAAACATTAAATAAAGTAAAATAAACATTAAGCAAACATTAAAAGTAAAAGTAAATAAACATTAATTTTTTTTAAATAAAAATACTACTTTGTATGATGATATGATTGAATTTAAATTATTTCATTAAGCAACATATATTTAATTGCCAGGTGCTATGTAAAGTACTGGAGGTGTAGCACTTAACAACAAACTGTGAGAGCAGAAACCATGTTTGTCTTGTGGGCAAGATCTACATAGAATAAATAATTACAGGTAAGCTTAGTGTCATGAAAAAGGAACTTCAATAGATTCTACCATAGTGTCTTCTATAGTGACGGAAGGTCAAGGGAGTCATATCTAAGTAAATATCTAAGTCCTATCTATCTAAGAATCTAAGCAAAGACCTGAAGGGTGAGTAGGAGTTATGATAAGTGAAAGAAAAGGAATAAGAAAGTGTGCTAAGGAAAGGAAGTGGCAAACGTGAGGACCCTGGGGTAAAAGAATCGAGCATTAGTACTTAAACAAGCTCATTCCTTGAAATGAAAGTTGAGAATAAGAGGGATAATCCAATAGAGCAAGGCTTCTGAGACAGTAAAACCAAGGGACGAAATTGGCCTTAGATGGGGGTAGGCACATGTTGTCCATGATAATGGAAAGAAGAGAAAAAAGGATAGATATGACTGTCTATACATATATAAGTTCAAGGAATTCCTGCCTATGGCTTCTATTTCCTCAGGGAAGTAGGGAGCAAGACTATCTGCTGACCATGGAGGGAAGCAGAGTTGTGATGATCATGCCCTTGTCAAAACTCAGCAAACATGTATCTAAGATTTGCACGTGTCATCACATTTAAATTTTACATCAAGAGAAAAAACTATAAATATTGAACTCCAGCTTGAACAAATTCATGTATCAATGGAACCCAAATCTCTATCAAGATATGGAATGTTACCATGAACCCCAGTGGCTTTTAAAACTTCTCTATTTCTATCATATGTTTGTCTTATTCACTGTTGCATCCTCAGCACCTATGCCAATGCCTGCCACATAGCAGGCATTCAACAGACATTTGTTGGATAAATGAATATGTGATATGATATTAAACCAGGATTTTTTCATTTGGGGTTGGGTTTTGTCAGGCATGTGCCTTTTGCTGAAGGAGTATGATTCTGAAGGATGCAAACACAGATTTCTTTTTATTTTTTGTTCCACTAAGTCTTCAAATTCTCTGAGGGCTGTTCTTCCTTCTGCCTTGGATGATATGTCATGAAGGTCATACAAACTTTATTCCAAGTTAAAGCTTTTCCTTTTCCCAAGCTCATGCTAGAAGCCTTCAGGGGGGTATGTGGCATGGGCCACTTTGGTTTTTCACCTTTTATATCTCCACTTTCCCTATTTTAACTACTCACTGTTTAAGCTTTCAAATTCCTCCAGGTTTGTATCGTGAAGAGCTTCTCAGATGCCTCAGATATATGACATGCACAGAATCACTTCTGGGCAACCATTTATAAGCCTATCCTTAGCCCTTGGGACTTCTTAGGGTTCAGCCCTCTGCTTGATCTCTCTGGTGCTCAGCAAAGCAGACTTCTTAGCTGGACTCCCTTTTAAACTACCATCCCTGGGAACATTGTTGCTACCGTTGTTTTGTTTTGTTTTTTAATGTTTATTTATTTTTCAGAGAGAGAGAGAGAGAAACAGAGTACAAGCAGGGGAGGGGCAAAGAGAGAGGGAGACACAGAATCTGAAGCAGGCTCAAGGCTCCAAGCTGTCAGCACAGAGCCCGATGCAGGGCTCGAACCCATGAACTGAGAAATCATGACCTGAACCCAAGTCGGACGCTTACCGACTGAGCCACCCAGGTGTCCCAGCTATACTTGCTTTATCACTTACCTATCTACTCAGCCATCCCTCTATAAGCCCATTAATTCATCTTATTTTTGGTATATGACAAAGTAAATTGCTGACATCAGTATACATTCCCTTGGGAAAATTCATGTTTCCGCAGTTGGTGAAAGTGCAGCTTGTTTCCAGTATGTCTGTCTCTAGTCTGCCTCTGGTTTTCTTAGGAAAGTATCAGATCCCAGGTCCCTGTATTTCCCCAGACTCCAGGCAATGTGTATCAAGTTCTCCAAATGTTTTCCTGAAAGCTCCTCTCACATAGCTTGAGGTTAGGGGGAGCATCTCTTTTTTTTCCCTGTGGGAGGAGTGGGGAAGTATCAAGTGTCTCCAAAGCAACACTCTTCTTGAGCCATCAGGCCCCCAGCCCACCCCCATGCTCTCTGGTGTGGGGATGAGTGAAGAATAATACTGGGCCACAATTTCTTAACATATTTTGCATGGCAGACTAACATCTGGCTTTAGGATGTAGGGGTACTTGGCATCTAATCTATTGTCCTTTGGGGACCTGTCAAAACAGATAGCATCCTTATTAAATGTCATGTTACATGTTTATTTATGTAACAAATATTTTTTGAGCACCTGTTCTAGGCAAAGCACTGGTCTGGGTAGTGAGAATGCAACAGTGAACAAGGTCACTGCTCTCATGGA